CTTGAGAGGAAAGGGTCCAATGCACGAGCTGTGTCCTCGTCGGACGATATCTTTGTCTCCTGGACGGCAACAAAGTCAATCTGTTCCTTTGAGAGGACCCTATACAGTTGGGACTGACGTGCACGCGAACACAGTCCTCTGACGTTGATGGTTGCGAAGCTCAGGGGAGGAAATGCCAGGGAGGTGTTAGCTAAGGGGGTAGTTCATCACCGTCCTTCACTACGTCAGCAGGCCGTGTGGCCTTACTGTAATGGTGCTCACACACCTCAGCTGGCCTGCGTTTTGCGTCGCCTCTCTCGTCGCTGTTGTGGCCGATCGCGACATCCGTGGTAGACGACTGAGACGATTTTTCCGATGTTGGGGCGGGTCGTTTGACAGATGTTCCACTGGACGTGGTCGAGCGCTCTCGTCGATGTAATGAATCCTGTGAAGCAACCGTTGACGTCGTACTTAAAGGAGGGAATCCGCTGTCTTGCAAAAGCGATTCAGGCTTTTCGGATTCAGTGGTGATCGTCGCCGACTCAAGGTTGACGTCAGGTGGTGGGTGCAGTGGGGCCGTCAGCTGTACCCCTGAAGTGGTGCTGGAAGGGGTGACTTCTCCTGTTGCATCGACCACTTCGCTTATGTCCATTAGGTGTTCTAAAACGACATCTTCAGCTGGGCTTCTTGCTTGTCGGAGCTTGTCCGCATAGGTGGTGACGCACTCACTTGTTGCATGACCATAACGTCGGCATTCACCGCATCTTGGGGTCCTACACTCGCGACGAATGTGACCGATTCGGTAGCATCGTAGACACAGTGGAGGGCGGCCAGGCACGAGCACCAAGCTTCGACAGCCGAACACTGTGAGCTGGTGCGGTATCTGGCTCGCGTTCATTCCCTCGTGAAGGGTCAACGTCACTTCTTTGTTTAGCGTCTCCATCTGCTCCATTCCGGCGCAGCGCCATTTTTCTCTAACAATCGAACGGACCGTGCCAAAAGGCGCCAGTGCTTCTTCGATACGCTGGTTGTCCATGTGAACTGGTAGCCAAAGAAGTTTCAGTTTGACGTCTCTGGTGTCCGGGTCGATGATTAGGCATCGGCGCCCCTTTACGCGGAGCTCTGCTTTGGTCACAAGTTTGGCCTTGGCCAAAGCGCTTGCACAGGTTACCATCCAGACGTGACTCATCTGGAATTGGCCGATTCCGATGATATCCTGGCTGTCAACCACGTCCCGCAAAGCGTCTCGGAAGTCTGTTGCTCGGTATGGCCGCGCGGCGAGATCTCCGTGTAGAAAGACAGAATTAAGACTCAAATTACCTGTCGGTAGACGGGGAAGTACGGTCCGGTACTCTTCAGTCGTCATTTCGGTGGTACTGGCCGAAGCCTCAGCAGTTCCCCGGCCTGTGGCCGGTGCGTTTTCACTGGAGAGCATTGAAAACACGACCGTTTCGAACGGCGTCTTCTTCTTTCTCCTCGGCCACCGATCCCCCCGCGGTGGCGTAGTCAAACCAACGAGCTTGAGTCAAACTGGCTGGCGAGATTGGTCTATTGGACTGGGTGCTTGAAGGGTCTGGCAACCGTGTAATAAAAACGGACTCTCCTCTATTTGGTTAGTCTCGTCCCACTAAAGCGACAAACACCGGAAAAAAATGTTGGCGGTTTTTAGCACGACATCGTCCATGATTTGTATCACCGTGCACGTTGCTTTGAAGAGCGAGACGATGTCCAGTTTTATCCTATCTCGGGGCTTGAAAAATTCCACTGTAATGCATGCCCATTCCTTTAGATGGCACTAATCCCGGGACTCTATTGCGCACCGTGGAAACAGCGTGTCGTTCTGTGTTTGTCCCTTGTCCGTATCCCCAGTCTCGGGTTTAAAACTATACTCTCTCCCACCCATTTCTTGCGTCATTAGAGAGTTTTAGTAGATCGTTCCCATGACTCCGATAACGATATCCCGATACTCCGCCAACGCCTCCCTTGCGCATGCATAGTATCGTTATCGGGGCTATCGGAGGTATCGGAACGATCTACTAAAGCTCTCTATAATCAGTGCACACACACTAAACTTCGAAACACCTATTGGTGACGTGAGCGATCGAAAGCGTCGCTGTGGTCGGCCCACCACTATTGGCAGAATGCTAACTATGACGTCAGCAAAGAATGTCTCATCAACGGAAATAAGAGGAATGTAAGAACTTTAATTTTGACGGGGTTGGCAGCGTTGCTTTGAGAGCGCTGTGATTTGAGGCTTTTACTATGCCCATTACAAACACCATCGAACTTGATGTTCACAAGGTAATGACGTCACGAAAGGTAACCAAACGAGGGCGCCACCGAAACATCTCGCCGCTAATAATGGTGTTTGGAAGGTGTTTCATACTGAGTACACCTTTTCAAAGAGCTATAGACCTTTTTCAATAACAGGTGTAATGCCTTTGGTACACCTACTGAGCGCATGAGCAAGGTGTTGTTACACCTTTTGGCAACTTCGGAAAGGTGTTCAGCAAATATTACACCTTTTACAGAGAAGAAAGTGTTTCCGCCTGAAAACACACTTTCTTTTTTTTTTCTTTTTTTAATTTGCCGGGATATATCTTTACTGAAATGACAAACCGGTGTCATACTGGGCTCTGCGTGTAACGCATGTTTTTGGGAACGTTGGGGGAGGGGGTTAGCCCGACGAGTAAAAAGGGAGGATTAAGCACAAAATTAGAAGTGACTGCCACTTCTCATGGTTTCGGTTTGGAACTCTAAATCGCATCGCTATCACTATCAACAGGAAGACATGGCGATCGAATGGGTGGATGGAATTTAGCGGGGAATTTTTTCTGCTAAATTTAGCGGGTATTTTTTCTGCTATATTTAGCGGGGATATTTTTCTGCTAAGTTTAGCGGAGAATTTTTCCGCTAAATTTAGCGGAGAAATTTACCCATCATGCAACGCGCAGTGACCCTCATTACGTCACACATGACGTCACGTGTGACGTCATCGTGAGAAACGTCCCATAATGCACCGCGAGGTTACGCCAACGGCGACGGCGACGCCGCTCAAGCCGCAAACGGACGCCTAAAAGCTGCGATCTAAAAGATTTTCTTTTTTCTCGTGCAGTGAAGAAGAGGCACAATTTTTCTCAAAGTCACCCGGCACATGTTTGTTTGCAGTTCATTTGTGCCAACGTTCTAGTTCTAAATGGTGCCACACTGGTAAGATAACTATGTCATCCACATATAAATATGAAACTTTTTTTTTCAAATGACTTAGATAATTAATATAGTATATGAAAAGAGGCGAATTGTCCAAGTGGGAAAACTTTTCGCACATTAAATTCAAAACCACTCATGAATTTTGAAATTAGATCTACTGAGGCGTCAGCTTATGAATAATGATTTAATACTTATTTCCTGAATGACATATTTGAGAAAGTCCTAATTGTAGTGACTAATGTCAAGACTGCATTGTATTTCTGACGTACAAGAACATGTTCTTGTTACACTAAATGATTGCTTCCTGCTCGTACCACAGAGTGAAGAGGCACTTCATGCGGTCTGTTTTGTGTTGCTTTCCAAGGCTTAGAACTTTCCGGACACCTGTTTGTCCACGCAGAGTCAACGAAACTCTTTAGAGCGATTAACATCACCGAAGGCCTAGATGCTCAGATGGCAGGGTTCTGGATCTTTAATATCCGGTATACTAAAGGGTGCCTCAAAGCAGCATGTGCCTTTAAAGGGGTTATGACACGCCAAAAATAAAATATGAGATAACTATATTGCTAGGACCCATTGTGTGTTCCTATAATCCTGCTATATTTGTTTTGAAAAAGGCGCGATAATTTCGTGGATAAATCGATTTATATGCGGGCCCCTCGGAGGGGCAGATCCGGGCGGACCTGGAGGCTGATGACGTAGCCAGCCTCCAGCGTGGTGTCCCCTTGCACGCACTCACAGACTTGGCTCTCTTGGCGTATCGAGCCTCAGCTTCCTCGTTTACCTTCCACGTTTCCGGCATCCGGTCTGTGACGATTACGTCTACGGCATCACATGCCTTGTCGAAGTGTTCGACATTGATCGCAGCAGCGATGAGAGTGATTGCTATCAAGAGATGTTGGAAGCTGTTCATTTTGACTGCGACCCGCTGGCGACGAGCTGCAGCGACGACGAGTTCGCCGTGGTCACCGTCGTCCGGGAAAGTCTCGCAGGCGCATGCAGGGTGGAAGGTCAACCGGCCGGGGGGCGAGAGCGAGAATAGCTTTCAGTTTACCGAGCTGTTTGAGCGGTTTTGTTCGTACCGCGACGAGAAGAGCTTGGGCGATCATGGGGGCGCCTAGAATGAGAGAGTGTTCATGGTCACGTGGTTTATGGACACCATGGTGTGACTAACTTGAGCAGTGTTGCCTGGTCACCAGATGAAAATTATAAAAATTCGTAAATTGAATATTGCAATTATCAGAGCTCTAAAAATTGCGTAACTTGGTGTATTTACTAAGTAGCCTATGAGCATTCTATTTCAAGAATAATCTATCCGTTTAATTTTCGTGTCATAACCCCTTTAAAAGGTTGTTTTTCAGACTTCATATAACCGAAGCTGAAGCGTCCTACCGTCATGTTTATGAACTAATTCCCTGATTGTGTATCACAAGCATTGTTGCCAGGTTAGCGGTTTTCCCCCTAACTTTAGCTATGATGAGAGTTATCTGGTGGGTACTGAAGATGGGAAACGTCCGAAGGAGAGGAAAAAAAACTGATAAGGGTTGGATAACTTCCTTTCAGTACCAAAATTAGGGCTGAGCGCCTGCTGGTCCTTGCGTCATTTTTTTTTTTCGGTGGGCTCTTGTAAGCAATGACCGGGACCTCTCCCCCCCCCTCCCCCCCCCCCCCCCCCCGGGGCCGGCAAATTGGGGGGGGGGGGGGCGGCTCAGAGTTTCTCTTAACTCTTTATTACAGAACCAGTCCACCTACAAGACTCTCTGGCGTGGCGGCTACGTACACGTGGTGCCGCCTCACACGTCCGTGAACGACCTGCTAATGGCCGTACACGACAAACATCACGCCTGGGTCGCCGAAGCCGCCTTCTCGGAGGCAAGAATCCGTGAAATGGAAAACGAATTGGAGCACCACGTCTTCGTGGCCACGACGTCCATGGCGTGGTCTCACTGGTGCATCGCGCTGCAGAAAGGAAGTCCTCTACGACACGTCTTCAACGCCAGGTGATCTCCGCCGGCAACATCCTGAGCAGATGACGTATTAATTGCATCATCGCAGAGCATGGCGATATGTGAGCTATTTGGCTAATGGCTAGAGGAGATAAAAAGAAATACTGAAAGGAAATGGAGCACGAACAAGGAAACAGTCAGGCATGGCGCACTCGATAAAATTCTGTGAAACACTGGTGGCAATGAGAAGGAATTCATTACTTACGAGATCAAAGCTCCACGCTCCATCTACACTTGTGTTCATTCAGCCACTCATTGAAGCAATCATTCACCATATCAGGTCAATTGACTGTCCAGCGTTAAGTGTAACTGTCGATAGATCATGCTTCTCTCATTCATTCCCGCTTATTGATAGGTTAATCAATAGATCATACTTCTCCCATTCATTCCCGCTTATTGATAGGTTAATCAATAGATCATACTTCTCCCATTCATTCCCGCTTCATAATTCAATTAACTAATTAATTAGTCAATTATAGACAGTACGCTAGTCAACCAGTCAATTAATCAACCAATCAATTTATCGTCCTTCTTAGCGCATAATCCCTTGCACCATCTCGGTCCTCTGTTCAGGATCGGCTGGATGTGGTCCACGGGAATTCTCAGGCACATCAAGAGCCACTACTTTGAGCAGGAGGCACACCCCGTTTACAACACTGTCAGCCCGGTGAAGCTGTGCAACACCAAGGCCTGCTTCTGGATCTGGTTCTTGGGACTGCTGGTGGCCAGCACCGCCTGCGCCGTCGAGGTAGTCTGGGGACGCAGGAGGAAACGCCGCCTCGTACGCACCTCCGAGTCCAAGAGGATCGCCAGAATACGAGCCAGGTGGCGCGTTCCGAGAATAATTTTTGTCAAGGGAAAGAATGTCTAGTGATAGAACACACCAACCTGGATCGTCTATTAGAATGCCTGAAAACCATCCTGGATCATCATACAAAACAGGGGCCGGCAACCTTTTGCAATGGCAGGTCGAGTCGTCACGAAGCCGCGGCACAGAGGGACCCGGACGGCAAGTCGCGAAGGAAGGGAGGGGGGGAAGGGGGGGAAGGGGTGGGGGGGGGGGGGGCAGTAGAAAAAATGCAAAAAGAAAGTGAAGACGTTCTTTTCGCAAGTATGGGTATGCCGGACAATGCCAATTCGAAGTGCTCCTTGTTCCTGGCTAACCGATTTGAGGTCAGAACGGACGTGTGGTCTTGAGTTTATGTGAGCAACTGGCCCGGGGGGGGGGGGGGGGGGGGGGGGGGGGGGGTGCTTTTCTGGTGTCGTGCCGGGCCCGCGTGAAACTACTTCCTCGCGAATGGCCGACCCTTGATATAGAAGAATGTACACCATTTTGGATCGACTATAAGAGGAACTCTCACCATCCTAGATCGTATACCAGGACTTTACACCATCCTAGATTAGCTACTAATACTGTACACCATAGTGGACTGTCTATTAGTGGAACTGTTCACCATACTCGATCGTCTATTAGAAGAACTCTACTCCATCCTGAATTATCATGTAAAAAAACTGTACACCATTTTGGATCGTCTATTAGAACTATACACCCTTCTGGATCGTCTGTTAGAAGAACAGCACACCATCATGGATGGTCTATTAAAAAAAACTTTACACCACCCTGGTATATTTTTTAGAGCTGTACACCATGCTGGACCATCTGTTTGAAGAACTGTAGACCACCCTGAATTATGATATAGAAGAACAGTGTACACCATCCTGGATCATCTAATAGAAGAACAGTATACATCATCTTGGGTCTCCTGTTACGACAGTACACGATAGTAAATCGTCTATTTGCAGAGCTGTAGACCACCCTGGATCATCGTATAGAAGAACTGTACATTAACGTGGAGAACTGTACACCTTCTTGGATCGTCTGCTAGAACTGTACACTATCCTGGTTCATCTTATAGAGCTGTACACCATCCATGGATCGTCTGCTAGAACTGCAAACCATCCTGGATCATCTTATAGAAGAGCTGTATGTACTACATTCTGGAAAAATCTATCTCACTAGCCAGATTCGCGGTTTCGCTATGCCGCCGCTGCCACGATGCATCCAAGGAATTAGTCTTGCTGCTCATGTGACAACCACGCGGGAATTCTGCGCGTGTAGAGCACGAGAGGGCTGTCTCATGCACTGCCACTTGCCTTCTGTTTATTAGAGTAAAGGCAGCGTCACGTGTGCGTCAATCGCTTGGTAAGACCGCGGTCCGTCAGAAGTACTGCATACCCTGCAGATTTCTTACTTGGTGACGTTTGATAGGACGTTATATTATAAATTAGCCAAACACAAAATATACCTTTATAGGGCAACTTCAGAAAAATAATTGCATCGTATTGAGTCAGTGATATAGGGTTTCTGGTAATCCATCCTTATAGCTGAAGGGAGAACGCTGTCGAGGAATCAAACCTTTAGTGTGCACGAATCGGTCATGGCACTCGCACGTATAAACAGCAAGTTTTTTTGTTTTTTTTTCTTTTTTTTTCAAATAAATTTGCGTAGATAAAAAAATAAACCTGCCATAATGATCCGCGAATAAAAAAGGCTGTTAGTGGTGCAAAGCGATCCAGCGTGGTTATTGTTGGTCGTCTGTACCCGGGGAGAACTTGCTGAGCAATTATACTACTGTGTCACAGTGTATATAGCAATGTATTCAAGAGCTACGGGCCACGGTGCACTGGCGCAGTTTGAGTGCCGATATCGGTTATCCACTCGCACACTTCTGAAATAACATGGAAAGTTGCCGCCGAGTTATTGCATCTTTATGCAGAGCGCATTTAAAAAAAAAAATGTGTACTGTTACATATATAACTCTTTTTGCGATATTTTCGAATAATTATTTTACGGCTTCTAAAAACGTCTGCAATTTAACACGACTTTTTATGACGCCCTTTGAGCACTCGGAGCAAGATTTTGGACGAAACTGAATACTTTTATTTCCGTTGTACTTCACCACATTTTCAGGTTGTTCTGCTTGAAAGCATATAGAGTGACGTATAGCATGCAATGCTTCCAGTTCTACACAAGCGATAAAAATGTGTCAATAAATAGTTTGATGGTTGAGTTACAGAATGAATTAAAAAAGATTTTGGCACGCCTCATAGCAATGATGGGTTTCCGGAACGCTAGGAATCATTGCATCCCATTCGCAAATAAAGATGTGGCCAAGGAGTGAAAATATAAAGATTAAATATGCATCAATACGTTGGTATTGATGTTAATGCCTCAGTTATTCTCGTTAGCTCCTCAAGAACTATTCTATAATCAGTAAGATACGAACCTTTTCTGTAATCACAGTCCCAGGGCCCTTAAAATATTTCATTGCCTGGCACCTTTGACTCCGATTGATGATTAAACTAGGTAAAGCTCACACTTAAGCATTCAAATTGGAGAAATAGAAAAACACCGAAAAAAAAAAAAGGGGGGAAGGATTTTTTTTTTTTTTTTAATTTCGTGCAAAGCTGCACAGGCTTCTATATAAACCCCAACATCCCATCCCCTAGTGCTGTTTTTAAGAACTTGCTGTTTTCAATGCTTCCATGGTGCATCCATAAATTACGATAAGACTGGGAGAATACCACACACTGATAACGCATCAACTATTATTAATTGCAGACGCTGAACGAATATGGCACCCAGACATAGCTTGTGCAGGAGACGGCACTGTCACGAGAAGAGCTTTAATCACGCGACCCTGAGTGCGCCCTTTGAGAAAGCTAAATCGAAAGCCGAAAATGAACTTTCTTCTGCATCTCTCTGGCTTCGTTTTTGATGTCCTTTCTAATTTCACGTAGCGTACAGTTGTTATACCCCCTGTAGTCGGCTCTTATCAGACAAACGTTAAACCAACTCCGGTTGTGGACATGCCATGGATCGTAGACTTAGAATCATGCCCCCGTGTCCCGAGCCGGCGAAGGACACACGCATTTGACGACATGCGCTGCAGCTGAGCTTACGTGGGAAGGCCAACATGTTGTTTTTGTCGTGCCCGAAAGCGGAATATGTTAAACATCAGCCTTGTGGAACTGCGGTCAGGTTTTTTTTTTACATTATCTCGATAAAAGTCGGATTGAAGTCGACTGGGATGGGACCGTGGTGCATCCTGTACTGACAGATGTTCGTTTGCAAACAAGTTTGCTACCGATCACTATCGGCGGACCCGTGCGCGCTTCCGGTTTTCCGCTACTCTTTTGTTTGTTTTAGTTCGCATGCTTCTGTTATTTGTGCTACTTTCTACAACATGCGCAGTTATTACAAGCGTATTAGAAATACTTTACCGAAGAAAAATTGTCCTACCCGACCGCCGTGCTTCGCTGGGGAACAAACAAATACACCACTGGAAGTCTACATGGGGCACCAAACGCTATGGTGCACTTGTAGTATCAACTACCGCCGATTTCGGTGAATAGGGATTAGCAGCGTCACGCAATGTTTGAAACGACAAGTCGCGCTGTCTTTTTGACAGCGACGATCGAGCTCGGCTAAATTAATTTGAAATCAATTAATCTTTAGGTCAAAATATTGGTTTCCCTTCAAATTATACTCCCGTGATTGGTGTAGCCCTGACATGACCACTGCTCGAGATGTTTCTGGTGTCTCTCTTTTTGCTTCATCGTATTTCTCCCGGTTGTTTTTAGTATCTTTGTTTTTTTGCAATCACTGAGATCAAGCAAACTTTCTAGGGGGAGGGAGGCCTCTTAAGCTGCAGTAACACCACTCATTCGTCATACACAAGAGACACGTCATGCGGACAACGCCTCACGCATGCGCAAAGCATGTTTGCCTCATAAATATGAATGCTTCGAACATGTATGCAGGCAGTTTTCGGATTACCAATGGGACGGGACCATCGTACGAGGAACAGCCTATCTTTTGCCCACGCCTCAGACTGTCTGCATCCTGTCTTTTGTATCAGGTGCTAGTGGTGTGACTGGGGCTTTAGGACGCGTATAGCTGAAACTGGCGGCTCGCGGGGATTTCATTGTTGGACATCGGAAGAGAGAGCCCGAGTCTTCTTGACGGGCTTGAAGTCTTCAAGTACCAGGACCTTGTTCTTGTCCGAGGTCGTCGGGTTCTCGATCTCCGCATTGATGGCTTCTCTAAGCGGGCCGATAACCTCTTCTCGCAGCGCCCTCTGGAGTAGGTACTTGGAAGCCCGTTCAACGAATGGCTGTTCGAATCCGAGCACGCTCTGGTAGTGAATTTCGTGCACGTCTGCTGTCAGGATGTGCAGTTCTTCCAGCTGAGGCTTCGAGTCATCCCCAAAAGCTGCGGACAAAACGAGGCAGCACGTGACGATATTGCATTGAAATGCTCTCGTGTCTTTGCTGTGCGTACATATGAATGCCATGACGAGGTGAAACATTCTGCACTCTAGATTAATTATTGCCCTTGGAAGTAAAATGATTATAGAACTTCGCTTCTAAATGAGGCAGCAACATGTTGATGGGGTCTGTTTGTCAGGCTGCAAGAAAATCAACACAAAGTTTTTAGCCGTGCGAGTACTCTGCTGTCTGGACTCTGGACCAGGTGCTTAGTTTTTGGACATATATAATTACAAAGTCGTCTGCTGCGACCGGTCAGCGGCGCGCCGCTGACCAATCGCAGCAGACGACGTTGTCCCTGTCCCTTGGTACCGCTTGGTCCCGCCGTGTAGCATACGGCCCAGGACACGCGTTCAATTGTCCTCTGCCGGTCTTTGGCCGCACGTGCGACAAAGCGGTATCAAAGGCAGAAAGCTCGCGCTCGGGTCAGAACATTTACTGGGTCCGTCACCTGTCACAGACTTTTGTCGACGAGTTGTTTCGGTGGCTCCCTCTTATGGTTCCTATCTGTGACGTCACGACCAGGGTTATAGACTGCAAGCGACCGTTACGACGGTGTGTGTTCAACGTCATGGTGAGCACTTGCCAATCGTGGAAGGCCGACCGGAGCG